TAGGTCAGCAGCGTCTTGTGAAGTTTAAATTCTGTTGCCATGAGCCAGAAGCAGTGACATTAATGAAACATGGTTTGTGGCCTTCATCACCCAAGGAACCACAAGCAGCATTTGAAAAAAATCTTATGGAATTGGTCAAATATATCTTCTTGGAATGCCGAACATCTTTAAAGTCGATATGTCAGGCAATATACTGGATTATGCCTTCTCTTTCACCAGTTTATGTGAGTATTTTAACCCAACCTCATTACTTCCAAAGGCTTCCCCTTTTATGACTGAATTTGCAAAGCCAAACTTCTAATTCATTAGTATGTATTAATTGCATATACAGTATAATAATTACTAAAGACAATACTAGTACATTGTAGGGTCTAATTATTAGTGTCTGCAACTTACTTCCAATAGAATAAAAAACAGTTAGACACATAGCATTTAGGTGAATTTAATCTAATTTTTTAGGTAAAGGACATATATCGGCTACTTGTTGGTGAAAATTTTGGAGAATACCGTTACCTTAGCTACATGCTGGATACATTTGGTGGGAAAAATGTGCAGTTGGATAATGTTAGTCAATGCCCTGCATGCCCTAAGGTAAACAGTACATTGTATATAAACAAACGTATATACAGTACTAGGTAGCATTTATTTGGAAATCCTTTATACTTGTTGTCTATACCTTAATGGTTTTGTTGTTTGTAAAGATAATAATGAAAATGTAGTATTGGCTTGAAGAAACTTTATTCTTAACACCAGACAATTTTCAAAGGGAATTTGTGCATGTCATATTTCATTTGCCAAGTTGATTCTGTAGGCTACAGTTAATGGCCATGAATTATTACTGACTATTTAAAGTTTAATTACATTTCTTTCATTTAGAAAAGTGGAAATATGTATGTATCTTTGAATGCTTTATTTGGCTGTGTGAGAAAGATAAGCGCTGGGACAAGTGTTAGACCAGCAAACCATGGAGAAACACTTTTCATAGAGCAAACAAAAGTGGATTCTTTTTTGAAGAATTACAAAGTTACATCATCATTAAAGTCACAAGTACGTACAATATATACATTTAGGTAATGAAATTCTTATGAGTAGCAAAATTCTTATAAATTTTATATTGCAGGTGTCCTGCCATAACTTCCAAGCTGGATCAAATCTCAGATCTAAGGTGAAGACTAAAAAATTAGATGAAACTGCAATATTTGGAGCAGGTTGCAGACATGAAGTGCCTTTAAAATTCTTTAGTCTAAAAAGAGGGGAAGAGTAAGTAAATTTGCCAAAGGTTTCTAGACACTTCACTAATTGTTGCATTGAACAAAACATGTTAATGTAATAAATTTCACTGAGCTGTAATTACATGTTTTAGAATTGGAAATGCAGTTTATTTGCTGAAGTGGTTGAAAGAAAGTACAAACAACAAGAATTTGAACATCTATTTGTATTATGATATAGCATGTACACTGGAATCTCATTTGAAGGTACAGACTGTAGGCATCAAAGTACAGACTTTTGAAATCTAACTGAAAAGTTTGCAAAAGCCTACACAGTACAACCACTTCATTTTAACCTGGGCACTTTCCTTTATGCAGCCAAAATGGTAAAATACCAATATAAATCATGTGAGCTTAAACACAAAAATCCCAGTAATCAGTCTGTAGAAAAATACATTAGGCCCAGACTGGCCATTTTCGGCATTTAAATGAAAGTGCCCCTGTACAGTATCAAGAGAACGGTGGTTCATTAAAATCCTCATTTCAAAATAAACATAAATTCAGCATGTGATGGTACAATATTTCCCGTGAAATAATGTTACAGTCAGTTATACAAGTTATTCCCAAATACTTAGAGAGCGAATTAGATGTATATCTGTATAATTTCGAATTTATTTATTGTGTATTTAGAGAACAAATCAGGAGGCATTATTGGAAAATGTTAAGGTGGCCATTCCTACATTTCACTGCTATGGACATAAAGTATCTTGTCAGGTACCTAACTTTTTGTATTGTATACTTTTTTTCCTTGTTTCTAATAGTTTTTTTACATTGAACTACAGCAGAAATGAAACTTCTAATATATATATATATATATTGTTTGTCAATGAATGTTCTCCGGATTTAAAATTGTTTTTTATTGAGCTTTCGACTTGGTACTTCGAGTCTTCTTCAGAATATCTAAATTATTTACATGTGTCTAGATTTATATATTCAAGTTTCGCGCTGTTCTTTAAGACTCTGTATACGTTGAGAGCGTCTGATTGGTTGTTTTGAAGTTGATCTGATATCAGTGGTAGTTGAGGGATGCGTTGTCATGGTTGACTGCATTTCGTTGTCAGGGATGGTCGCTGTGGAATGATTAGATTGTTGTGTATCAGATGCGGGTGGATTTAAGTTATTATTAGTTATATTAATGTGATTATTGATAGAGTCCTTACGTTTTGTCTTAAGTTGCAGATAGACTGCAGGAATGTCGATATGTCTGTTAATAGTATTGTCGTCTGTACTAAACCAAGCTTCTTTGAATTCACGTAAAAAATAAATATGCCTGGATTACAAATCTTTAAACATATATATATATATATCGTTGAACAAAAGGACAGAACTGTTTAGTAAATGCCGGCATAGATATGGTTTTAAGGTTTGTAATGTTAAGCGCACGCAAACATGCACGTTAAAACTCTCGCGTAATCAATCAAAAACGCGTGTGCGTAAACCGTTGTAAATAGTTATCGCCTGAGGATCGTACTAAAACTAGTACGTGAAACACAGTGTAGCGATGAAATACAATTTTATGATTATATTTTGTTGATTTATTTTGTTGATTTGTTTGTGTTTTTGCTCTACTATTTACTTGTATTGAGCACTCTGGTTTACTACGCACAAATCCAAGATTATATTATATATATATAATATTATATATATTTATAAATGTCTATTTTTCCACGGTTATAATTTTCAGTAGCTACATTGTTTTTCCATGTTTTTGGTGTATGTTAGTGTGATATTAAATTTTTATAATAATCTTTTGGCTGATCAGGTGTCATATAGTGGCCGGAGAATTAATGGGTTTGGTCTAAGCGACGGTGAAGTGATGGAGCGAATGTGGTCTTACCTTAGGCCAACTTCAAAAATCACCAAAGAAATGACCCCGTCACACCGAGTTGATGCTCTGACGGACTTTCTCTTACATTATAGAAAGAAATCTTTAGGGCAAATCGGTAAATACAAAATAATAAGTACTTTTATAATTATTGTATTCATCCTCTAATAATTATTTTTAGTGTTCTAATTCATTGGTATAAGTATCGGTGGTATCTATTTTCATACATTCTTTGTTACGGAATATCTCTACTTTCTGAGCATTTTTTATAATAAACAGTACATTGTTTTAATATCTTGACAAATCTAGGCGAACGTTTGTGCGATCATTTGAAGAAAGCATTGCACATGAAAGCCGACACAAATGAGCAGTTGAATCTGCTTCTTGAAAATCTTAGTAAAAGCGGTTTGTTAATTTTTTCAAATTTTGTGTATAATTGTTACGGGAAATACAAATTCAATCATGTACATATTTGTATTTTTCTTTGGGTATAGGTATACACCTGAATGTAACAACAATAGAAAAGTGGTCTAAGTCTGAGAAAGATCTCTATAGTAAGAAGTCGGAGAAGAGAGGTTAGCGATATAGAGCAGTTTACTCAATTGCTATTGTCTAATTTCACTGCAGGTCGTTCTGTGCCCACTTTATAAATACCCAGTTAACGTATATATAGGAACTTTTATCCACTATATACATAAACGACCTGTGCGATTGCTACACAATGTACGCAAGCTTGAATTGGTTTACTTGGTTCAGCATAAATTATAAGGTACTTAATTTTTTATTTGGATTTATACAATATTTGTAGCCACAGCGAATGTTACGGACGTCACAGAACAGTATGCGGAAAAGTTGAAAGAGTATTATGACACAAGGTTTGACTATTTCCATCATAATTAAATACCAATGTTTTAATGTATACATACGATAATTCATTAGTTACATTATGTTAATTTTTATATAAAGAGCCAAGCTTGCAGAGATCGAGATGGACAGTGAAGAATTTTCAATTTTAAGTTCTAAATTGAACAGGTACGTACAGTACAGTATATGTTTCATTTTTGCTATTTTGTTTCTTAAAAGTTGCTAACGTGAATGTTATTGCAATGTTAGTGAATGTTAAGTTTTCTTTGTTTGAATAATTTAGCAAAAATGAACAACTGAAGAAAATTGAGAACGGTCAGCAGCGTTGGAGTCAAGATCACCCAGCATTCAAATTGTATGTTACCAAAGCGGAAGATACACGTAGAAATGAATTGTTGAGTGATATGCGTGCAAGATGTTTGGAACGTTGGTTTTTGCTGCAGCTTATGAAAAAATATGCAGGTTTATATTATACAATTAATGAAATTACTAATCGAAGAGATTTCCACTTGATATATACTTAGCCACTAGCTCTCAGTGATATATACTTGGCCACTAGCTATTGTCGTTTTGTACATCGCGTGATACTGTACACGATAACTCAAAAATGATTTTATTAATTAACATGATGTAAAACACTGTGAATTTAAATGCATCGAAAGAAGTACTTTGTTTTATCATGGTAACAAACTACTAAAGAGAAATTAAACTTTAAAATAATTTTGGTCAATCCTTTGTACTTTGTTGTGATTGTATTTTCAAAACATCAGAGTGTTGTGCGATGAAATCTAAGTTGTTATATTTGAATTTACAGACGGGCAAGCCATTGCGAAAAAGATCTGTGGCCAAATAAATAAAACGACAAACACGATTAAGAAGCTGGTGAGAGAATACGATAAAAAGATTACCGAACACCACCAATCTAAATATCCTGCCAGTGTTACGTTTGAAGAAATCACCGATCTAAACTCGACTATATGGAATCATCTAGAAGAAGAGGCTGATGCTGATTTCCCAGTTCCATACTACATCCAACGCAAGATAATTGATTTTAACCACATCATCAACCGTTCTACTGAAGAAGTTGACTTAATTAAAAACGAAATGGCCAGAGTTCTTGAATTCTATTCAGCAAGAGTATCTGCACTTGCAACGTGGTCGGAAGAATTAAGAAAAGAGCAAGAGAGTCCTGAGTCAACAGGACTATTGGTGATGGTACTGAGCGAGAAAGACACGCTTGACATCGTGCTGCTGCATCTGAATTCTTTATTTGCACCTTACATGGATGAACATGCAGCATTACCAGAAGACGATGGAATATTTCTGACATGTGATGAGGCAGATAAATTCGAGATGGAGTTAGACGATGATGCTGGAAATGAAGATAGAGAAAGCGAGCTAGAAGAAGAAAATGTGCTAGATATTCTTGTCTCTGTACTGAATGAAGAGTATGGTACGGATTACGAATATTCCGACGAAGAGAAGTCTGATGAAGAAGAAACTTAAAAAGAACACCCGGCGTTGCTCTAGAACGTGCGGCAAACAAAGGTTTAAAACATAACTAATGATTGTGATTCTTTACTATAAATATAATGTGTATATATTTTATGGTAAATCGTTAGACATGAGTTTTCACACTGTTTAATTGTCAGGTGACTCATATAATAACACATGTGTATACACAGGTATATGTGTTTCATTTTGCTATTTTGTTACATAAAAGTTGCTAACGTGAATGTTAGTGCATTGCTTTGTTTGTTTTAATAATTTAAATGGAGTATAGGTATCTCTCAAATACTTTGAAGTAGTTTACTCAGTGACTCCGGTTTTCTCTGCTCTGCAAAATCAATATTATTTAATTTATAGTGAAAGCTTAAAGTGCTGTTTGAAAGCGTAGAGTAATACCCTCACCTCCAAAACCAACTAGGACTGTTCACCTTCTCTTTTGACACAAAGACCATGACTGGCTGTTCACGGTTGGTTCGATTCCAACCCATGGTTTCAATTATTCGGAACGATTCTATATTCTCATTTAATATTTCGGCCATGAGTTAATATCGATAAAAGACTCAACATTGCAAAATTTGAACTAATTTCACCAAGTTCTTCATTGTTTTCCAAAAATGCTGTAGCTTTTGTGAAGACTTAGTAGAGACCTACGACTTACGGCAAACGCCAAACCGCTAACAAAGTTTGTGTTTTAACTTCACTCTCCTTAAGTAAGCGGCAATTTCGCTAAACTGGCAAACGTTCTACATAAAACTTGTGATGTTCAGCAGTAATGTAAGAAAGCAATAGACTATTTCTGATGTATTTAGAAAAGCAGCAAACTCAGCTTTGCCGTATATGTTTCACGTTCGCCGTATAAAATTTAATGCTTGAACGACTGCATACACCCTCAGCCGTTCAAGCATTAAATTTTATACGGCGAACGTGAAACATATACGGCTAAGCTGAGTTTGCTGCTTTTCTAAATACATCAGAAATAGCCTATTGCTTTCTTACATTACTGCTGAACATCACAAGATTTATGCAGAACGTTTGTAATTTAGCGAAATTGCCGCACACTTAAAGACAGTGGAGTTAAAACACAAACATTGTTGGCGGTTTGGCGTTTGCCGTAAACGTCAAACTAAAGGTCTCTAGTATGTAGTTATATACTGGTACCTACCATGAAGTCGGGAAATGTATTTTAATCGGAACGTTTCCATATTTTGATTTAATATTTCGGCCATGAGTTAATATCGATAAAAGACTCAATATTGCAAAGTTTCAGCTAATTTCACCAAGTTCTTAATTGTTTTCCAAAAATGCTGTAGCTTTTGTGAAGCCTTAGTATGTAGTTTATATACTGGTACCGCCCATGAAGTCGGGAAATGTATTTCAATAAGAACGTTTCTATATTTTGATTTAATATTTCGGCCATGAGTTAATATCGATAAATGACTCAACATTGCAAAGTTTCAGCTAATTTCACCAAGTTCTTAAATGTTTTCCAAAAATGCTGTAGCTTTTGTGAAGCCTTAGTATGTAGTTATATACTGGTACCGCCCATGAAGTCGGGAAATGTTTTCAATAAGAACGTTTCCATATTTTCATTTAATATTTCAGCCATGAGTTAATATCGATAAAAGACTCAACATTGCAAAGTTTCAGCTAATTTCACCAAGTTCTTCATTGTTTTTCAAAAACGCTGTAGCTTTTGTGAAGCCTTAGTATGTAGTTATATACTGGTACCGCCCATGAAGTCGGGAAATGTATTTCAATAAGAACGTTTCTATATTTTGATTTAATATTTCGGCCATGAGTTAATATCGATAAAAGACTCAACATTGCAAAGTTTCAGCTAATTTCACCAAGTTCTTAATTGTTTTCCAAAAATGCTGTAGCTTTTGTGAAGCCTTAGTATGTAGTTATATACTGGTACCGCCCATGAAGTCGGGAAATGTATTTCAATAAGAACGTTTCCATATTTTGATTAAATATTTCGGCCATGAGTTAATATCGATAAAAGACTCAACATTGCAAAGTTTCAGCTAATTTCACCAAGTTCTTCATTGTTTTTCAAAAACGCTGTAGCTTTTGTGAAGCCTTAGTAATGTAGTTATACTGCTACCGCCCATGAAGTCGGGAAATGTATTTCAATAAGAACGTTTCCATATTTTGATTAAATATTTCGGCCATGAGTTAATATCGATAAAAGACTCAATATTGCAAAGTTTCAGCTAATTTCACCAAGTTCTTAATTGTTTTCCAAAAATGCTGTAGCTTTTGTGAAGCCTTAGTATGTAGTTTATACTGGTACCGCCCATGAAGTCGGGAAATGTATTTCAATAAGAACGTTTCCATATTTTGATTAAATATTTCGGCCATGAGTTTATATCGATAAAAGACTCAACATTGCAAAGTTTCAGCTAATTTCACCAAGTTCTTCACTGTTGTCCAAAACCGCTGTAGCTTTTGTGAAGTCTCCATCAGAGACCAGGGGCCTGTTCAAACCTATAATATTAATAACCCTGGGTTAAATTTTAACTCATTGTTTTACTCTTTTTTTGAACCACTGTTCGTTTTAAAACTTGGTAAAATATGACTTCTATCGGTCCAGACAATATTTATGAAAAAAGATATTCAATTTTGTAAACAAGCGATTATAAAAATTTATGTAGAGATTTGCTTTAACCACAGTTGATAGAATAGCTAAGAAAGCTCCTCAACCTTGACTTGAAAGATATGTTAATAACAAGATTGCTATTGGTTTATCTGTTGCAAAATACAATAGACATGTGATGAGAAAAGAACAATTTTTTCCATAAATCTACCTCAACATAGTCTCCAAACCATGTATATTTTATAACTGTGCTTTAACCCAGGATTAAGTTAACCGGCTTTTGAACAACCACCCCCTGGAGCCAGACATCTACTTATTCAAGCATTGAATTCAAACAGATCTTGATTAGTTAACCATATACTAAGGGGCTGTTTACATGAGCCCGTTTACCCGCGATTCAACGAAGCGTGAGATGACTTCGAGGTATTGAAATGAGCAGATAACATGTTCCTGGCAGTCGTATAATCACCACAACAATAGCATGTGCTTGTTTGGTGTCGTAATTCATAAAGTCTTATTTCAATACCTCAGAGTCCTCTCACGCTTCGTTGAATCTCGGGTAACCGGGCTCATGTATACAGCCCCTATACACTACTGTTGTTGTCATCGTAATCAAAGAGCATAAGTTCTAAGTTTGAAATGGGGAGGTAATTCACTGCGAGTTGGAGTCGAACCAACACAAAGTCAACCTGACGCAGTTTACGTTCCTGAATCAAAAAAATCATCATTGGTTAATAAGACAACAATGAATATAAGATCATATCAGAGGTTGAATGTGTAACATTTTAAATGCATAAAACTGTTCTCTAGAATACTAAATACTGTAAATCGTACCTCAAATATTTTTATTCAGAAAAATGCATATTGACAAGATACATTTTTCGTTTTTTTAACATAAAGAAACTAAACTACTGAGAAGAAATTTATAATATCAATGCCATGCCCACGTATTAACTAGTTAAGGGTTACTGCGCATGCAGAAGAGCTAATCTGTTACAGGGCCACTCGTAAAAAGCACCTACGACGACACATTCGTCCGTATCAAATGCACCAGGACAAAAAGGAAGCAACCCAGGTTGAATAATGCGGCGAATTTCGACAACAACATTTCCAACTCCCACGTTTCGCCCGTGGACGCGAGTTTGTCCCGATACTACTGCTATAGCCTGTACATCATTACTATTCTTCGCCATCAGACCAAACAACATGTCTAAAATTATGCAATATATGAGAAACATAGTTACCGTACTCGTACTATATGCAATGTTTCAAATTACTAAAAGACATTGGCACTTGTACATAATTCGAAATTTAAACAGGAATTAATATACACCTTTTGGTACTCTGATAGCTTTTGTTTTGTGAATTTCCTGCAAAGAAGCGAGGGTTGCGGGACTTGATACGGCCATAACAGGACTGGAATTAACAGGCAAAGAAACATTGGATGTGTCCGACAAAAGAGGAGAAGAAGTAGATGTAAGACAACTAGAGGTAAGAGGATTGAAAGCAGAAGGTTTTGAAACAGAAGAGCTAGAATTAGGGACATTAACAGAGGCAATAGAAATGCGAGGATTGGATGTTGAAGGAGTAGGCAGGGAAGAACTAGAACTGGGGGAGCTAGAGACAGCAGGACTGGAAGTAAGAGGATGGGAAGTCGAAGGTGTAGACAAAAAGTAGAATGTAAGGCAGTAGAAGTAGGAGGATTGGAAGTTGAAGCGTTGAATTTACAGTTAGAGACAACAGGATCAGAAATAGATTGGAGAGCAGAATGACCGGCATCAGTGTGAGCATTGGAAATAAGATTACTTGATGAAGTAATAGTTAATGACCAAGCATTTCTAGACTGCCACAATTCACGACGCTGAGCCGAACCGTACAGAGCAGGCTTTCGTGGTGTAGTTCCAATATCTATCTCCAGATGAGCTGGAAGTCCGATAAAAGCAATACCATATTCTTGAATTTTCGAATATGGCATTTTCCCGTTTTTCTTTTTCACAACTTCACCTATTAAAATCAAGCAATGTATCTGAAACTTTACCATTACATACAATAAATAAAGGTCTCCTTTTTTTTATACACCCTGTATACACTGTATAACAAACTCTTTATGCTCATGCACAGACATCACAGTATATACAGTGACTATGCCAACTACGCTGCCTGTACTCAAACTACAACTTTCAATACATAACTTGTGCTCACCGTATTTTTTATTAAAAAGTTCTTGAATAGCTTTTACGGAAATATTCTCCTTTCCATCCTGAGAACCTATACAGTCAAGTTTACTTAACGTTTAGTTAATCATAACATTCAATAGTAAATATTATTACTTAGGCCAAAGGGGGTGCAGGAGAGGTACAAGCGAAGCAATACAATATCATCTCATTTTCAAATATTTTTATCAAACTCCCCCTACCAAATCGCGCTGGACCCATCTTTGCTTTAGATCCAACTATATTTGTATCCGAAACTTACACTGCAGCAAATTGGCGAAGTGATGTACCAAATCGTTTTCGCTATCATTCAACATCTTATTGCCGACATCTGTTGAGCCATGGAAAACATGGCCTTCAAAGCCGCAGATCAATAAACAGTGGCCTCCTAAAGCTTCCAATTCTTGAACCTTTAACATAAACATCAAAACATACATATATATTGTATGTGAGGGAAATATAATAAAGTCTCTACACTACGAAACGTCTTGTACCGTACTGTACAATTATAACAACCAGCTGATAGAGAATAAAGGGTAGTTATTTACAGTACTTAGTTAGCTATTCAGCGAATTAGCCTGTATGTATGTATGTATATATGGTTGTTTAGTTGGTTAGTAAGCTATATTTAGTATTAAGCTATATTTAGTAAGCTGGTTAGGCACAGTAAGTCAGTATTTTGGTGTTCATTGACTGTAAAAACAATATATTTCTAAAGAAATGAATAATTATTGTAGACTCTCTGGGCATGGAAATGGCAACATATCGATATTCCAGACTACGTGTACGTTTCAAACCTACAATTATAATAACTCGAAATTTACATAGCGGGACAAAATCTTCGGGCTGGCTACGCCACTGGGTATTGCGTATATAGGGGTGGTTTGTTACAAAATACAAGACTAGTTTTCGGAGTGTACATATGCTAAATAATAACCCATTGCTTTTTGCACGCTCTAAGTTGTTTAAGGTTTACGTTTTTGGTAGGAAAACCCCTTAGCTGTATAGGATAATGAAGGTTTCAATATAAATAAATTTGTGAAATGAAATAAGTAATTACATAACAATAGAGACACGACGCTACATTTTATCGTACGATTTACTGTACCTCTTTCATCATATTGTTTATTATTTTTTTAGCCTTGGCATTGTTGGAAGGAAGGCAAACATCTTTATCTGATTCCAATGCTTTTCTTCTAAAGGTGTCTTTTTGTTCATCTGAAAGGGTTCTCCATTTGTCACCAATGTTTTTGAAGGCATTAGAGGAAGATCCACTGCTTTCTACAAAATAAGAGATAAAGTATTAAATTATACAATAAAGAATTCTGAAAAAGTACTGTAACTACACAACTTACATGGAATATTATGGATGGTTTTGCATAGATTTAATTATTACATAATAAATGAGCAGGTATTTCCAATTTACTATATTTTAAAACGTTACCTTTGAATAGGTTCTCACTGGCAAATACATTAAAGCCAGATCTTTTTCTCATTAATCTGCTTTTTCCTACTTTTCCTGATATCCGTCCACTCGTTTTTGCCCTATAATTACTTATCCAGTGCTGTAATTAACATAAAATATGGTAAATACTGTTCATAATGGCAATTCATTATTTTAGAGCAACATTACCTCGAGTTAATATGAAAGTCAAGCAACTGCAAGTTAACGTGCTTCAATGTAAATGTATAAGTATGTGAATTGAACAATTTATGCATACCTAAGGCATACAGTAGATAATTCAACGATTAAATGGCATGACTCTTTCCATGACAAGTAAAATTGTCTGATATTAGGGTGAACGAATGCCCCACAAGGAAATTTTCAAATGTTTTGAAAGTCAATGGGCTAACAATATTATTAATAATACAGCACCCAGATAACATCCCTCAAAGCACAGGAGAGATCAACTATGTAACTCTACCATCTCTGATGGTCTGGGGTTTTTCCTAGAGATGAGCGATCCAAGTACTACCTTCCATCAACAGTTTTAACCATTGGTAAAAGGCAACATGCTAGCCTCATAATGCCACCCATGCTTCCCTACACCACCAACTACACAATGAATAAAAGGTAAATCACTAATAACAGTACAGAAAATGCCAATTACCTAATAGGTTAAATTGGGTAAAATCACCCAGATTGCATAAGATAGTATGTAACATAATATGCCACAACATGTAGTTAGAGCATATTTATTAATTAATTGATGAGTTTGACTTTGATAGGTTTTAAAATGCAATAGCCATGCATATCTTGGTGTAGGACCTGCACATGGCTATTAAATGAGTTAATGTTTGGTTTTATCACTAAAAGAGTGTAGGTACTGTATAAAGATATTTTATCCCTCACATTTGAGAAATATTACCATTTCAGCAGAAAAAACAACAGAGAAGATATTTAAATACTTAAGATAAAATTACAGTGCATATTCAGTTTTATACAATTAACATAAAAACTATTTAATAATCATGTTCATTTACAGAAGTCTTTTCAAATATCTTGGATGCCAAAACTGATATTGACATATTAGTTAGGGCAAATAGACATTAGTTAGAGCATCCAAGGTATTCCCTAACTAATCACTTCACTATGAAACCAGGGATATGGCAAATGATATTCTTTAGTAATTTGTAGTAGTGCCAAATATCAACACTAATAGTTTATTTATGTTAACCAATCATCAACCAGCTACACAGTTTATATTTAAAAGTTCCCATAGTACATCACATGGATGCTTCAGTTTAAACCTCACATAATCACAGGACTATAGTTATTTAGAGTGGGCCTATATAAGCAAGGGCTGCCATCTCGGGATAACCTTTTCAAAATCAAATACCATAAACCTCCCATCACAAACCCCCCTTATAAGCCCTCTGTGTAAGCCTATCACATTTCTAGTGTTTATACACCATTCCAAATATAAGTCCCCGACCATAAGTCCACTATTTACAGGTATATTGAAACAATAGCTGCATGAACATGTTAATGTTTGATTTTCTGAACACATGTTACCAATGCTTTCCCTGCATGTGAAAGCCCACTAAAAACTGCCTTACAAACTTCATAGGTGCAGGACTTACAGTCAGAGGTTTAATACAATGTAAACATACTAATTTGAGTGACTGGCTCTCAATCAAACAGTTCTTCTGACAATATACAATGAACAGCAGAACCTTGGTCTAGATCCTGGCAATTACTTTTATATATAATTATATTGCTCTGATAATGTTTAGTATTGAGCTTTTATCTGTTAGTCTGCTACCAAAACTATTATCGAGCAGCAACACAGCCAAATGCATTAGATTTTAATCTTTTATTCTTTATGCTTGACAATTTTATTTATCAAAGGATGAGTTTTGCAGCTTTAAAAATGTGTTACTATATGTTGAGGAATTCTTTCCATGAGTGTGTTTATAATGACTCAACCATGCACATTTTAAAGTTTACAGTACATTAAAATTCAATAATCAATACTGTTGGACTGATATACACACAAACAACTATAAATTTAGCCACATAACAAAACTAACTCGGGGGCTTTTAACACAATACATTAAACCACAGCAACTAATTATGTATTTATAATAGCAGCATCTATTCATGTTTACTGTACTTTAAACAATATTATTTATTATCACCTTCACTTGTTGTTCTGTGAGCATTGTTTGGTTTGCACATTCTTTTATAACAGCGAGGTTCTGCTTCTTGGTTGAGTCCATATTTCTGCTTGTGAAGAAAGACTTTAAAATGGCAAGCTTTTCTTCGTCAATGATCAATCGACCTTGACCATTACCATTCCCGCCGTCGCTGCTTCTTTCGTATTCCATAGCTCAATTTGAATATTAAAACTCTTATAAATATTAATGAGATTTCCCAACAACTACCGTATAAAGATCACCTCGAAAGCTGTAGAAAATCGAAGAAGATATCTAATTCAGATCGTTGTTCCCCGACTATTAACACACAAAATGGCGCGAAGTCAGATCAACTCGACAATCGACATAGACTGGTAGTCTGGTACCTTGTTACTCAGTATATGCTGTTAGGTGTCTGATACCTACTATCACCGCATATATGCGCCAATTACGTTTCAATTTGATATGTTAATAAGCGTATAATTACGTGTGCATCGGGTGCATATTCATCACAGATCACAGCAACCTCGTACCCAGGGTCTTTACTCTACTCGAGTAGAGTAGAGTAAAGACCCTGGGTACGAGGTTGAGATCACAGCCGTCGAGCGAGAAGAAAATAAGAAAATTATAACGACCCAGACGTCATGTAAAGATTATATAACCAACGTAAACAAACATTGTTATGCGCAGAATATATGCTCAGAACGGACTTTACATCATGTTTAAAAAATGAAGATTAACTTGTGGTAATTCACAACCTTCGATGAAGCAAATAATCCCCGAGCCGGTGCGGAGCACCGTGCGAGGGTACTAATTCCGCTCGGATATTTACACCCACGAAGTGCGAATGCGAAATCAAAGTCGTCCGCCATTTAACAATAGGGAGATTTAGTATGAGGACGTGAACGTCAAAGACGACGTGAAAATGGCGAGTAAATGGCGTGGCATGTGCATATTTGGGTGCATCACGCCATTTACTCGCCATTTTCACGTCGTCTTTGACGTTCACGTTCTCGTGCTAAATCTCCAGCCTTGTTCCCAGGCGCTTTAAATAAAATAAAATATAGGAACACTACAGGCTTTTTACATAGATCAGTGGCTAAGCAGAGCGCAAGGAGTTTTGGGGAGGACGCAGAGAAAGAAGCGCCTGGCAGAAAATGCATACAACATGGCGGCTCACGATTTATGAGTTCACTTCACTGTTGTTAATAGCGAACTTAAGCAAGCAACGTTTTCACGACGACGGCGACGCCATTTCTCGGTTTAGACTGGGACGAGCATAATTATGCACGTCTTCCCGCCGTCGCGGTCTTGTCCAAGACCTGAAAATTTGATTTTGACGTTGTGGCTAAAACGTGAGTAAATATAATCGTTTTAACTTACTTATGAGTACAATTTTAAAATAATTGTTATTTCTCTGATCGTTTAGAAACGCATTAAAACTAACATGATGGTTTTATAGGTTTTATAGTACCAGATGGCAACCGCAAGTGCTGCTTCGAAGTCCATTTGTACAACAACAAAGTAAGTTCAAGCTTCATTGAAATTTTAAGGTAGCATTGCGGATAGTCATTGGAATAACTTTTTCTATCATACACGGTCATTCATAATTTTGGTTTATCAAGTGAAACAAAAAATCAGTGTTTTCTTTTTGCAATTTGCACTGCACTTTTTATACAGGTAAATTTTTTACTACAAAGTAGTTTAATAAATCGCAAAAAATGTGACATAAATTTGCTTTTTAGAGTCAAAATGGTTGATATACTTTGCCTATAAGATAGTAATAGGAAAACATAGCACTTATTTAAATGGAGACCTAAATTTACCGTTAACAGACCCATGAAATGGACTGAATCACATGATATACTTTTGGCAAGAGAGGTTTTAGTATCAAGTATATATGAGATCAGAAATGCAGTGTGGAGAGAGGAAAAGAGTGGGACAAAATAGTTGAAAACCTCAACGCATTGGAAAGTCCAAAATTCTATGTATCCAAGCGGGCAATACGGGATCGGCTTAATTTACTTATCAAAGGATACAGAGCAAAAGTCAGAGGAAAAGGTCAGTCCAGTGGAATAAGCCCAGATGAGATGAAATTGACTCATTACTAGAGGAAATTTGTGATAAAGAAGAAGAATGGATGCTTAATCCTCCTATTACATCCAAGGTAAAGAAAGCAGAAAATGACAGAGCCACAGCTAATGAAATAAGACTTCAAGCCTTGGAAACTGTAGGAGAGACTACTAAAAGAAAGGAGAAAAATGAAAGGGAGCATACAACAAAGAGAAGAAAGAGTACTGGTGAGGCTATTGAATATTTAAAAGAAAAAGCTAAAGCTGACCTGTCTCTGAAAGAAAGGGAGTTTGAGCTTAGAGAAAAAGAGCAGTCAAATAGTGCTTTGTTATTGCAAAACCAAAGCCAAATGCAACAGGACATGCTGATTTTTATGCAACAACAACATCAAGAACAGAAGAGACAACAGCAACTTCAGCAACAACAGCATGCACAAACCATGCAACAAATGTTCCAACAACAACAAATGCAAAGTCAGGCTTTGATGGCTCTCTTAGAAAAATTTGCTAACAAATAGGACACAAGGCATGTACACTTATGTAAGTTGTGTTATTATTTACATAGCTTTTTTAACTGTTAAATTTAGAATATAAAAGCTCTTCTATTTTATTTTCTGGACAATATGGACAATGACAATGTTAAAAAAATTGGAAAATACAAAAATATTAACACTTTTAAATTGATGTTTGCAGTTCAAATGTAATAAATACAAGTTTGTTAAACTCTTCTGTTTATGGTTCTTAATTCACAGCAAAGTATTCCTCCAGAGTAGGTGGTTCCAAGCCAAAGTACTCAGCTGTTTGGTTGCCATACATGCAGGTCAATGCATTTCGAAGAAGGGAACAAACAACATACATCTTACCAACGCTACTCAAACCAATTTTTAGATTTTTTTTAAAATCTAGGAATTTAAAATAATTTATTATGTCACCGAACAACCATTCGACAGATACTCTTGTGGCGCTCATGTTGGTGTTGAACATCTGCATTTGGTTGGTTAGATTTCCTTGTCGAAATGGTGCCTGTAGGTGCACCCTTAAGGGATATGCTGGATCCCCATACAAGCACATTGGATCTCCCCTTGTTGAGAAAGCTTCTGCCTCTAAGGTCTGCAGCAGTCCTGACTCAGCCAACATACCAGCATCATGTCTTTTCCCCTCTAGGTAAGTTAGTGTTGACAAAAAATGAATATGATAACAGTTATAAAATTTATGATTTCTCTCCTAGCAACATTAGATACAGTCCCATCCATTTTTAAATTACCCTCTTTAAAAATGGCTGAAAATAACTTTAAAACTCCAGTACGTTTATTATACTCCACTCTTCAACAAGGGTATTCATACTAACCTACAGGTCCATAAAGGTTTGCAATCATACCATTTGGAACAACAACAGACTGAAATTTCAGGGAATGTACTTTCTTGTGCCCATTATAAACCAGCCTCTGGTTTTGTCTAGGCCTGCAGATCGGACGGACTGTTCCATCAATGAACCCGAAACAGTTTTGTAACGGGGCACCTTTTTGATGAATGGATGTTGCATAAACTTCTAAGAGGTCAGGGCTCAGAAGGCCGTTGTTCCATTCAGTTATGCGGTGGTGATGAGTTTCGTAGATGTAGTTTAACACATGATTTGTAATCATGCATATTTCGGGAACAGGTCTTCCGAATAAGGTTATCATATCCCCGTACCTGCAAGGATAGGCGAATCGCTTCATCAGCATACACAAGCCCTCCATACCATCAGCAATACTTCGCTGGTACATCTTAAACGAGGGAGGAATCTGCAGAGCATTAGCTAATGAATGTAAATCTTTTTTTTCCACACGAAAATTAGCCTTGCTTTCAGCCTCCAACAACTCGTCGAAATCGAACTTGGGGGTGTCTTCGTAGGTGAAATCTGGATTTTTCGAGTGAAAATAATCGTACAGTAACACAAATTCATCGTTTGAGATAATTTCATCAGCATAAGAGTAGGCTATAATTTCACGAACTTCCCTAAATGACATTTTGTTCACGTCCCCGTTTGTTTTTGCTTAATGATTTGTTTTTCGCGCTAAAACGTCGTCCTCGGGCCAGTCTTTCGCGGTTAAATGGCGTCGCCGTCGTCGTGAAAACGTTGCTTGCTTAAGTTCGCTAATTACTCCGGCGTCAGCGACGGAGTTGAAAATTCGCCTCGGTTTTGTTTTGTTTTTGTTTTTGTTTTTTTATTTTTTTTATTTTTTATTATTTTTCGTCGTCGCAAGTCTGTAATGGCGCGAATCATTCTAGTATTTAAAATGTGTATGTGATTGGATTTATCTATGTCCCAGTCTTGTCTCCCAAGAGTTGTGGTGCACAGCTTTGGCTAATTTTCCGATGCGCGATTCGATTTCGCTCGCATGATACGGCAATTCCTCCAAGAGGAACAAATAAACCGTTCTTTTCATGCTTTTCGATTAAGTTTAGACTGAATTGGGGTAAGAATATATTTAATACGTGTAGATTCTGGTCCTATTTTAGTAATATCGCTGCTATTTCGCCGTTTAACAAGATGATGTGGTCGTGTATGCGCGCTATAACTATATGAGCGCGAATTCCAAAGGCAAAGTGTAAGACAAACCGAATGTATCATACCGTTTATTTACATTCTTGAACGATTTAACTTCTATACTTTTTAAAGTACGATGTGCTTCTGAATTTCGCGATCGAACATTTAGGTTCGCAAGGCATCTAAATGCAAATATGAACTGTATTGTTTATGTTCAGAAGCTCTATATTGAAGACTGGCACGTGCGCCGGAGTTAACGCCAGAACAGGCGTCTTGTTTATTATTCAAAGTGCAAAAGGGGAACTTGTTAAAATATTAATTCTGCCCGACTTTTTAAGAGCGATACACAGAATTATATGCATGGGGAAAATTTTATGCACGAGTGTTTAGGTATCGCACTGTCATCATTTCCAAATAAACAATTTTCAAGCGGGGCAAAAGGCGAATCCATTCGAATTTGCAAAATTCTCCATGAAGAAACAAGAAAATGTATGGATAAGATATTTGATTATCGTAGGACAAAGGTATGCACCTCTATATACATTTATTTTAACTCTTATGAAGTTCTAAAATATATCATTTTTGTATTTTTATTAGAATTTGGGAAACGTCCCTTGATAGTATGCTTTTCTCCTCACTGGACAAATCGAGGGAAGCCATCAACAGTGACTGTTCTACATATACATTTGGATCCATATTATATTCCACAATTCATTTCAAATCTGCAGCCAATCTGTGCCTTCTTTTATTGCATTGGCCACTTGACAAATTATATGCTAGAGTATAGTAGCCAGTAGGTATAATGCATTAATGCATTAAAAAAGATTCTAAAGACATTTTGTGTTAACACCCAAGTTCATTAGAAATGTGATAAGAGGTTATATATCAAGTTGAATACATATATTACAAAATGCTTACTTACATGCAAACCTATTGGACTTGGATTAAAATTTCAACAACATGCAGAGACAGTGGATGTTTTCCTGGTCTTTTATTAACTGCTGACTAGTAGCATCAGGCTCTAGATGTCTTTGAAAAGGTGTTTTAAAAACACAAATATGTATCATAACCTGTTGGACATAACCCATGAGGTTGCATGTAAATGGCAATAACACAAAGAACACTAAATATAATTATTGCCTAGCAATCTCTGTAACCCCTCCTCTCTATCTATGACAGTGTGTAACATCATATATACATGAATTATAATTGTAATATGGTATAATATAATTATTATATAGTGTATATATGAATTATATTTTAAATTAAATTTTAATCTCCATGTTATGGTGGTTTATTGACCCAGACATCCATCTGCAAGAGAAGATAGCTTTAGTTGGCTGCTAGACTACATTTAGAGTATTCAAGCACACACCTCCAGCAGGAGATAACTATATGAAATAGCTTGAAGTTCCTAACTAGCACAAAATCATAAACAAAAAATAGCAATTGTTGCAGGATTTTCATTCTGGTTAAAATGATCTCCTAGGTTGTCCAGTTATTTTACACATTACACATTGGTATATTACAGTGAACATGTGTACAGTATTTATTGTTAAACACAGGAACATGTTGGGGCATACAAATGAAAGACATACTGTGAGGCAAATCAATGTAAATGTCAACTTCAGGTTTGACTGGCAGAGCTGGCCCAGTTAACATGCATAAAAAGTATTTGAAATATACATACTGTATGACATTTAAAAACATAGAAACATGCGCATTTAATGTCAATTGAAAATATACCAGCTTAATGTACTCAGCAGATAGAATAAAATTCCAACGCTTATTACCAACTGACTTACTTGGAACATTTTGTCCCCCAAGCGACGATAAATCCAAATCATCAGAACTTGAAGATGCTATTGTAAGGATAATTTTATCATCAAAATATGATAACGGTCGACAGATATTATTATTAGCATATTTAAGAACAACACGAAAGATTCACTGACAGTCTACTCTAAAAACGTACTAAATATTATATAAAATGCAACCAAATTCTGTAATAAAATATTACCGTCAAATGAGAACTTCTTCAGTGATTGCTCCAGGTCATTCATATGGCCACAAACCACCTAAAACGCAAGAACGCACGAGTGAAATGTCGAAAAGCTCGATTTGCCAGAAATGGCATTTCTGGCAAAAAATATTTGCATTTTCTGCCAGGCGCTCCATTTCTCCGTCGCGTCCTCCCCAAAATTCCTTGCGTGTTCGCTCTGCTTAGCCACTGATCTATGTAAAAAGCCTGTAGTGTTCCTATATTTTATTTTATTTAAAGCGCCTGGGAACGAGGCTGCTAAATCTCCCTAATTAGACAACGAGTCCGAGTTGTCTAATTGTTTTAGTACACACCCTGTACCTAGATATATTAATTTCGAGAAAATAATCAATACACCGCAATTACACCGAAAAATAATTCAATTTTATACGGTCGCGCTAGCGAAATTTTCCCAACCGTTAGTGAACATATCATCTATACTTGTCTTCACATTGTACTATTAATACCTGTGGAGTTTGTTTTAATAAATACAGGGTTGGAAAGAGATTGGGACATTAATTCCTTTTTTTGTCTTTTTCACCCACCGCCCTCTGATATTAGAGAGCAAAATCTGTAATCCAACAAAAAATATTGGTCGGTTGGCCTTTTATATTATTTATTTGTTGTGTTTATAATAGACATCTGCACTAGCTAGTTCTGGCAAAAGTCTCACTGAGTTAATAATTGATGTCAATAAATAAATAAATAGACACATTTTGTGTAGTCGTATGGAGGTAAATTATAGTTTTATATTAATAACTTGTATTAATATTTGGCAATAAATATTCATGTTGTGTGTTCACATAAACTAAAATATATTTTATACTATGCATTAATGCAAACCTGCAGAAAATCTACAAAAAATAAGAAATCAAATTGTAAAAGTAAAAAAATTACGAAGTGGCTAATCGTGCTTGAACAGTATGCCAAAAGTCAAACCCATATATTTATTTAAAAGTTTGTAGCAGCACAGCCCATGAAAAATACTTGCACTTTGCAATTTCTTAGTTCTCATTGTTGTTATCCCGGGATGGATATAACCAAAGAGTAGATATGTATCTAATCATTGATGCTAAATTATTGGAATTTCGAAGAGTGAACCCTCTTTTATATCTACCCTTCGTATGAAATTGTATAGCCGACGGTCGATATATATCACCGATATGTTTATAGCTCCTTATACGAAAGTCTTGAGTAGAAAGTTTTGATATAAATTGATGCTAGAAGAGTTGCTTACCGTTAAGTTAAGAATAATCATTATATGGATTGACGGTAAATAACCAAAATTAAGTCTTTGTTTTGTGTACATTGGTACGAAATCATAAAATATTGAATGCCTAATAGTGTTTTTTGGTACTTTTTAGTGTTTATCTCCCACCTGAATAGTGTTTACGTATTCATTTCCGGAATGGTGTTTCGGTGCTTCCGGTTAGAGTCCACTTTTACTAACGAGTCCAGTCCACCTTTTACTAACGAGTCCAGTCCACCTTTTACTAATCGGGGCTTTATCGGTCCAGTCCACCTTTTACTAATGAGTCCAGTCCACCTTTTACTAGTCCAGTCCAGTCCATGTTTTACCATATGCCGGACTTCACGCCATGGACGGTCTTCTGCGTTATGCGCATGCGCCAGTGTTAACTACTAAGCTCTTGATTGGTCGAGACAAAAATTTGTATTTTCAAACGTCAATGAATAAAATGAATAACTGTCTTTTAGCAAAATTTTGATGAAATTTATAAATTTATACTTTTATAAATATGGAATATATGTATTTTTACTAAATTAGAGGGAAACTAGAATGAGGTCAGGACTTTTCACGGTTTAACAAATAACAAGACCAAATTTTCGACCGAATTCACCGTGCATAATGAAGTCGGAAGATTTTACACTTGATAATATTTCATCCGGCATCCGGCACAGCTTTAAAAAGTAATTCTTTTGTGGCAAACACAACTTTAATATTCTCAAATGTATTTCACTATAAATCTGAATATGTTCTGTGATAAACGACATTATAATTTTATTTATAAACTCCGTTTTCCTAATGACAAAAAGAAAACAAAATGAAAACATTCCCGTACAAAAACCAGTCGAAGCGCTGTATGAGACGTCTGATGTTATATTTCATGGTATTTAATAATTAAAATAATTTACCATAACACTGACTATAGATGAGTAACTTAACTTCCAGAAAAAGGTAAGAATCTTGTCGTATTTTTGCCAATTTTCCACAAAAATATTGTAAACTTTGATTCTTTAAAAATATACGGCCGTTGCAAGTTGCTATGACTACAGTGTTTCCACGTGCGGAGAAATATTTCTATACTTCCCCCAATTTCTATTTCTCAAATACCCTGTACCCTCCAAAAACCTCCAAGGCCCAAAACCACATAAAATTTCTAACAATCATTAACTAATTTTGTTTAACCTAGGCGAGGGGTTGCTGCATGCATGTATTTCTAGTACGGTATTTAATACTGCGCTCAAGACGTAAACGCTTCGCTGTTGAACTTTAATTACCGCGCGAAATGAAATATGATCTCGTCTTGTCCAAAAGGTTTATTTTGGCCGGATAATATCTTCCAGGCCTCCGGCGGTTAAAGCGCCTGGACACAAGGCTGAGCGCAAGGCGTGAAAGAAAAAAAGATGTCATTATCCTTGTATAATTGAGTGTCGTTGGTGACTTACAAAAAAGAGGGGTCATCTCCTGAAAAAGGGGGGTCATACGTTTGAAGCGCCTTCACAGAAATAACATTATAGTCATTTCTATAATAGATAGGCGTTTTTAGTCGATTTCTTCAAATTTTTTACAATTATATACATTCAAGATGAGTAAAAAAATTATGCTCATTCGTATGCAAATTTGCCGCCAACTCTGACAGTAACTGACCAAATTAAGCAATTCCCTTGTGTGGTGTTCATGATCAACAGGACACAGATGACAACAGTTTATTATCTCTTAGACGATTAGAATGCATTTTACTTTTAAACAAACAAAATTAAAACGAAATAATAGCAGCTGTGTGGCAAATGCATGTGAAAGGCATCAGGTTTTTTACCCAGCCTGTACTTTTTTTACTGGAGATATTTTTTCTTTCGTTTTCTGATGTTTTCTGATATAACTCAGCATGTCTAAAGATTAAAAAATATTATATATAAAAAAGTTGTTTACAGTGTCAGTGATATATAATGTACAATATTAAGTAATAAAGTAGTGCTATGTGTTCACAGTCAATAATGACAATATAAATACAGAATTACGACGAAGTTTTATCCGGGTTATCTCACATGACTTCTTCATGGCTAAATGGAATAGCCCTAGAAGATGTCGCACACGAAATTGTAAAGCCCAGTGACAGTGGGTGTTTGCATGACCCGTTAAGCCTAGATTAAACCAAAAGTTAAGTGACTTGAATTGAAATGAATATAAATATCACCATCCTGACACGATAATATTCATCATATTCATGAAGCGGTATTTTAATACTGGAAAATATCTGGCTTTGTTAAATTGCGTGTAACCGGGCTAATGTAAACACCCCCCGTTTATACGAGCCGGACTGCCTGGTTCACCGGATAGATTCACCAGGATCGCAATCCCGCATAGTGTTTTTACATATGTACAAATATATTTGATAGGTACAAATTTGGTATTTCTAATAATGATATTTTTTGTTCGGGCAATTTTCCCAGCTTCTTCGCTCTATAAAGTTGATTCATTTATGGTGGTGGTCTTCACTACCTGATACAGCGTAGCTCACGGCGCGAAACAAACAGTTTCCATCGCCAACTATGGGATAGATTTCTGATGGCGCCAAACTCTTGTCGTACCATTCCCCATAGGTACGGGTTGACATTATTTGGTCAATCAAATTTAAAATGTTAATGGAACGGCAAATGTTTCCCTTTAATATAGAACCAACTGGCACAAAAAGGAATTTTTTAGGTTTGGTAAACTGACAAACTGATTCGTTTGTGTTCGCGTGAAAAGACATCGTATGTCTTCGCTCACCTCATCTTCGCTGTTTTCGTCTGCTTCATCATCGTCTATATGAGAATAAAAAGCATATAAAAATAACATTAACATTACCATAATTGAATTTATATTGCGCATATTAGCATGCAGATATGTTCATATGCGCATTACATAAAAATCTAAGATTTAAATTACAGTTACCATTACCAGAAATTTGCGACATGATAATTTGCAAATATACTAATTTGCATTTAACTTTCAGCATAATGGCCTTCAACATTTACTATAAAATACATATGGTAAATACACAAAATCTAAAAATGCCGTTGACCTAGATCTTGCCCACTGTTTGCCGACCTCTGGATCAATAAAACAGCCGTTTCCCGACGTTTTAATGATCGAATTACTTACCTTAGGTATTTCTACGTTCGGCCAAATGATTGTGAACAAATGGGTATATAGCCTTCGTATTATTCAAGTTACAGATAAGACTGATAATATTTTTTAAAGTGATTGCAGTAAAAATCCGAGCCGTACAAGAAAGTTTATACACAAATACGAAAGACAATATCTTCAACAATTTTTTTGGTACATTATACGTCAATTTATCAACTATCTGAATCGAAATATTCGAATCAATGTGAGCGATTTTAAAAGTTCGTGGACAGAACACGGACAAAACTTTGAGCAATATATCTTTAAATTTGGCAGAATGCAGAAATGCCCAAGCTAAAAAATTCTGTCACCAAAACGTTTCTAAACAGCTGCTCTACCAATCTAGAGGTCGGCAAACAGTGGGCAAGGTCTAGCGCAACGGCATTTTTAAGTTTTGTATAATTACCTAATGTATTTTATAGTAAAAGTTGAAGGCCATTATGCTGAAAGTTAAATGCAAATTAGTATACATGCAAATTATCATGTCGCAAATTTCTGGTAATGTGTATTAAAATTATTTACATCTAAAATTAGAGTTAAGTTCGTAATATATATCAGCGTTCAAAGGCCATCCTAAATAAGTAGGTTTTCAATGCCTTTTTAAACGAATTTAAATTGTCCATATTTCGAATATTTGCTGGCATAACGTTCCAGAGTTTTGGAGCAGCTGATCTAAATGCTCTCCCACCAAGAGTCGTCAAACATTTTCCTGTTGGTGGCAATAGT